AATGTACACCCCAAATCTCACAATGTTATAAACCATTATGATCTCAATAAAATTACTGGGGAAAAAAAAGAATGTCAGCACTCATTTCTAATTCTTTGGTCGTATACTGGGCAATGCAGAAGTACTAAGAGTATAATAAGAAGCAAAAATTTCAAGTCTGAGGGAAAAAACAAGCAGTGAGAAAGGGGACCCAGTTTTGGTTTTGGACCCATTGATTTTAACTGGGTCAAATACCTGAGTAGAAACGGAAAGAGAGGTTAAAGTTGGAAACACAAACTTCCTAAATCCTACATTTTCTCCATTATTAAATCAGAACTCCAATGATGTCCAAGTATACCAGGATTTTAACCATAGTCTTGCCCATAGGTTTCTATAGCTTTATTTCAAACCAGCCAATTTTTTTTTTTTGAGGAAGATTGACCCTGAACTAACTACTGCCAATCCTCCTTTTTTTTTGCTCAGGAAGACTGGCCCTGAGCTAACATCCGTGCCCATCTTCCTCTACTTTATACATGGGATGCCTACCACAGCACGGCTTTTGCCAAGCGGTGCCATGTCCGCACCCGGGATCCAAACCGGTGAACCCCGAGCTGCTGAAAAGCAGAACATGCGCACTTAACTGCTGCACCATCGGGCCGGCCCCTAGCCAAATTTTTAATTCAAAATCATTGAGAAATTCTCTTAAGATATATTTTCACTGCAAAAACAGTTATTTGCATTCAAGTAAAAGTAACATAATGTGAGTAGTCACCTTCTTGTGACAAATAAGATGGAGCAGGAGGACCCCACAGAAAGTTTTATCTATACTTGCTTCTCCCTCTGAAGAAAATGCCACTCCCGAACTGTCTACACGGATTTTCTGCTTCATTTCACACACTTACTTCTCCCAGAAATAGTCACCAAAAAAACATGCCCCCTGATGCTTATCTTCAAGTTTTACCTGAAGCACATTTTTACAGCCAATTTTCAAATTCCTAAAATCAAATGGAAATACTGATGTGACCATAAATGGAAACCCTAATCTGACTCACACAGTATTTTCTAAGGGTCAGTTTTAGGACTTAATTTACACAAACATCTACTGGCCTGAAGTCATTATCCTAACAGTTGACTCAAATTCATATTATCTGCATTTAAAAGTATTATCTCCCATCTTAGGGAGCTAATCAGTCTTTAGCATTAACTTGCTTTTCAGGGAAGATTGTTATGTTGAGCTTAAGAAATTACGTGTTGAATCTGACACACACATGTTGGTGGGGCTTTAAGACACGTTACTCATTCGGTCCAAGATTGACCTGCTTGTCTCCCATCATCAAGTGTGTATCCTAACAGAGAGGTGAAGCGAACCGTACAGCACAGCGCCAGAAATGCCCTCCGCACCGCGCTGAGGGAGAGGAGCCGACCAGCTCTGAGCAGGCACTGACTTCACAGGGTGTGGTCCCGCGCGCTGTGAGCCAGCCGTTTCAAGTACCCAAGTACTTGGTCAGTGCTGTAGCGTGAAGCCTCCACCCGAGGGGACCAAGATACGTCTTAATACAAAATCACAGACCGCCAAGGGTTCCAGACACAACCCACTTGTTTCTTTAAAACATGCCATGTGACTGACTTCATCTGAAGGTTTGTTCCTCTCCAGGCCACAGAGAAGTAACCTGACTCAAAGGCTGTGTCACTCGACATCAGAGATCTGAGTGGCTGTCACATTACACGCTACGCAGTCATGATCCCTATTATTTTCCCAGGATGGACTTCCGATGTGTTTTTTTTTAATAGATGAGAAAACTCTCCACATGATTTATAAAGACCAAAATCTCTCCAACAGATATTATTCATGTGAACATTTTATAAATGTTTTTATAAAAAAAGACTTTCCGAATGTCTCATGGGCCGTCTCAAGAACTACATGCCTTTCACGAGAACATGGGCAGCAGCCCTAGCAACAGCGAGGTGACACCTAACCACACGAACCGGCTGAACCCACTGGTTAACAGGCTCTCAGAACGCGGACGGTCTGGGAAGTGAGGATCACTCCTCCCTTTTAGATGCGCTTTTCTGCAGCCTGGCCAACACTGCCCCAGACTGTCCACTAAGATCAGGGAAGCGGACACGAGGGAGAGAGAACACGTGCACTCTCCTTCGGCTATCCACCCTGGACGTTTCTTCATGAGAACTCATGTGATAGTTTCTTCTGTGAAGCAAAGAAACACAGACGTCAAACACTCCCTTAAAGATCTTTCAGAGGAATAAACGGCCGTGGGCAGTACTGACGAGTCTCTCCTCATGAGAAAGCACCAGCTCCGAGCTGTGAAACACGGGAAAGCGCTCGCCCTCGGCTCCTGCCCGAGCACACGGAGCTCCACCTTCTCTGGGACTCAAGTGAGCGGAGGGCAGGAACCATCACATTGAGAGCACAGCCCACGACAGGAAAAGACAGCTCTACAGTGAACCGTCGCTACGTGAAGAAGAGTTCTGACAACACAGCTACCTCCACGTCCCCAGGGGTGACCCAGACAAAACAGGGCTCTGACCTGCTCTCGATAAATTCCCTCTCTCACGGTGAGCTATCCCGGTCTTTAACAGATTTATCACTCTCAAAGGTTTTCCTTCTATCAAATCAAATCCTCACTCTTTGAAGTCCAAGTCCACTTCCTTCTTTTGAGGAACCACACGTTGAAGATGGGTCAAGAGGGAAAAAAGCTATGTCAGTATTCGAAAGAACCAACACCACAAAACTAGGTTTACTATGAGATTTCTTTTTAAACAGCTCTAGTATGAAAGGCTTAAACACAGCAAGTTATACTTGGATGAGAGACATCTATTTCTTACTCTAAATGGCAGCCAACCCCAGTTTAAACGGGAACAGCATCCTTGCCACCTGGACCTCTGGTAACGAAGGAAGTGTTTAGTACCTGGATCTGAGGCACTAAGGTGTCATGAAAAGTGGTATTTTCTACTGTCCTAGAATAACTCCATTTGGTAATCACCCACCTGAAAAACTTGCAAAGCAAAGTGCTATTATACAAACTCCCAGCTGAATATGCCTTTTTATCTGAATCATGAATCAGGCCCAGCTCTCACTGTATTTGTCTGTCTAAACTTCCTTGTGACCTCATCAATGACCCACAAGAGCCCCCTGTGATACAGGAGGCCACATTGTCCCAATAAAACCCAAAAGCTCAAAAGAAATCTACATTTCCAAGGACTTCTCAAAGGCAATGAGAAAGGCTTGAAGATGTCAACTGTCCATTCTTCCTACATCTTTCTATTGCTCACTTGCAACCTGGTTTCCTAATTCTGTCCACCCCACCCCACAGCCCAGCAGGAGAGAAGTTTTTGACGCCTGTTCTCTCCCTGCCTCTCCTCTCTCTAGGCAGCAGGCCCTAGTCAGGCTCCCGGACAGGTTCTTAGTAGCACACAGGCTATGCGGGGGAACGAGGCAGAGCACACCCTCCAGCCTCAAGGCACAGTTGTGTGGACCATTCTTCCCTTACACAGATGGGCACCGCAGAGCAAAGGCCAGAGCCGATGTACAAGCACCACGGAGAGTCATCATCTCCAGCAGAGCTTGCCACTTTGAGGACAGAGGTGACTTCTCACACACACACATGCACGTGTATTAGTCAATACTTTCACAGAAATCCTATTATATGAACCAAGGTTAAAAACATACACCTACGGAGAGAATTCATCCTCAAATGGAAACACCTCCACATTCTTCTGCCAAAAGTATAAACAGATTTACAAAAGAAATACAACATTTGAAAGATGCTCATATATGCACCAAATAGAAGTAAGACCAGACAGTCAAGGCACATTTGAAAATTAATCCAAATTCACTGCAAAGGTCCTCTCATCAGTTTCTAACATTTTAAGAGTAACCTCATCAGTCTTCAAAAGCAGGAGGGCCTCAGAGCTGATGGGTGTTCTGAAAGCCACTATTCAAGACCAGCCTCCAGCACATACGCAAGCAGCCCTGGCGCCTTCACAAACAGAGGCACCACACCCCGGCTGCGAGAAATACTTAATGCTATTGGTACAACTCCCTCCGAAAACAAATACGGATATTCTCTATATATCATTGGCTTTATCCTACAGTGCTGCATTTTAGAAATAAAGCCTTGCTTCTCAATCAAGTTTTCATAACCTTAGTAGCAGGAGTCTTATAACCGTTCTGTCAGGCTTGGTGTGCAGCTCAGGACGGCCAGATTCAATCATGGACCACAGGCACAGCGGGCCTTTACCCACACGTCCACATCGATGCTGAGCGGGCACCCACTGCAGAGCGCACTGCGTTTCCCCACAGGCTGTAACCGATTACTGACTCCCCATCAGCATGAGGGGCGCATACGGAAAGCCCAGAGGAGGCCAAGGGCTCCTCTCCCAAGGCCAGGGCTGAAAGCCCATCACTTCATGTAACCGCAGTCAGGGGTGACGGACCTGACCTACATTTCTTCCTTTCTCACAGGAGCTCGTCACTGTTCTAAGAAGCTATTTTCTAAAATGCATAAAAGAAATGACTTTTAAAACTGCTTAGGAAATGCGCATTCCTCAAATATCATTTATAGCAATCTTATAAGGAATAGTTTATCCAGAAGATAATTGGAAACCTGGCCTAAAATAAGCTCAGAGACAGCAAGGAGTGCTTTATGAGGGTACCCCACGTAGCATCTTCCTTTAGATTGTCATTTAGACAGCACACAGTCTTAAAAACACTACGATTAAAACTTCAATCAGTACATAATTTAATAAAAAGAAGTTTTTAAACATATAAAACATTAATTAGGAATGTGTAATTCGATATTTTTCATTAGTTATAAAAAACAGCTTTCACGGCTTCAGCAGTTCTGTGAACTTATCAACGAAACACAATAATCACTACTAAGGACAGGTCATAATTACAAACAACGATGCCGGGAGGAGTGAAGAAGGAGCAGCACCTCGATGCCGTGCGCCGCTCCCTGGGGGGCTGCAGTGTGTGGAGGCCCCACCCCACAAGCACCCACCGAGCCGCAGCAGGTCGTACTCCTTCTTGGTCTCTTCATGGCCTAGAATTTTCCAAGCCTGATCAATCTCGATGAACTTGCGCACACACTCCTCCACCGCTTCTGCTGGTGCATCTGCACTCTGTCTGTCTGGATGATACTGCCAATCAAAAACAAGGACAGCGGTGAAAAGAGAGGCGTGAAGGGAGAAGAAAAAAAATTAAATCTGAGCTTGAGATAAGAGAGAAGGTGATGAGAAGAAGAAATTAAGATGCCGTGGCAACGGGACAAGTGGTGGGCACACGAGACGATGCCAGGTTAATTAGACCACTCGAGTAGCTACGAATCCACCAGTGACATGATCCGTCACAACGCGCTAAGACGGCAGTTTCTGGATAATTTGCTGATGGAATCATTGGTCTCATGGACAATCTCCCTAGTGAGGAACACAAACAGAAACAGGCCCATGCAGATGAGCAGCCACGACAGAGGAGCAGCTCACAGCCTGCAGAGCGGGTGGCTTTCCTGACAGGGCGAGCTTGGCTGCAGCACCCTTGCAAAGGGATCACCAGTGTTTTCTTTCGAAATCAGATTATATAGCCATACCTTAAAATAAAACACCTCTCACCTTCTGGCCCAGCCCTGAAGGTTTGAAAGTTACAAGTCCCCAAACATAAATTTTTATTGAACAATGGTTACTCTAGGGCAGATTTCTAAGAAACAACTTCAAAGAACTCAAGGAAACGTGTGAATGGAAATTAATTCATGAGTAAACTTTCTTACATGTTTTCTAAGTGTAAGAAATGTTGAAGAGTGTTTTCAACAGGCAGCAACTTCTTCACACTGAAGCTGGATGCCATCTCATCAGTTCTCCGGCGCCAGTGTGAATGCACTTACTGGACCCCTCCATTTCAGGGTCCGCTTCCCCCTTGTGTCCTGCATGCTCTCTGGTGCTCCCTTCCTTTTCATCTACCCGTTCTTCTGAAAGAACCATTGTGTCGCTTGCTTTCAGCAGTCTCTCAGCAAACAAGCGAGAAGAGGTTATCTAAATTTAGAGGCACTTTGCTCAAGTAAACCGGGGATGACAGTAGCAGATATTCAGACATGTAATTTTTTCACTCTCAAGTAAATAAGCAACCACTTGGTAGTATTCATCCAGAATTTTCGACCTGCAATTACTTAGCCTGCACGTTTTATCAAATATATTACGGAATGTATTTTAACTTACCTTAGGAATTTCCTTTGAACTAGTGGGATAGTTTTTTCCCTTCAGTTCTTACTCTTTTTTTCTCCAAAGTTTTTATAATACAACAAGCAAATTGCCATAGTCACATTTCATGACACTAACGTGCTTAGTGCACATACTCATCAGTTAACAGGAAAATCATTTATATTCTTTCACTGACTGCTCCACAGACAGAAAGAGCACAAAACATCTACAAGAACCACGTCGTTTGTTATTCAAGTTGGTAAGGCCACAGTCACTCAGTGAGATGAGGGAAGTTCATGAAGTCAAATGACTTCAATTCTCTACCTAGAATTCAAGAGTATGGAAGTGTGTGCCCACGGTGCAGACTAGGCTGCTGGCTTTGTCAGCGAGGTGCTCTCAGGCTGCACTTCTCCATACTGCTGCTGACCCTCACTGCAGAGCACAGGCTCTGAGACATTCGCTTGCAGAGAAGAGCAGACAAACTTCACACACGCTGGGAGAGAGGCTACAGGGCAGACAAAGAGGAGTCGGCTTCCATTTTACCCCTGGCAATCTATTTCTCTTCCCTGTGCCAAACGTATCAGTTATCAACACTTAAATATTTCATCTAACTAATACAATGACTGCAGAAAGAGAAAAGGAAACTAAAGCTTTATTGTTTCCTCTTTTTGGGGTCATGATTTATTAAATGATGCTCATAAAAGCTATTCCCATACTGAAGTTTAAGCAGTCCCTAATGCTGGGATATTAAGTAAGATCTCAAAGCCAAAACAGAGTTGTCCACGCCAAACTCTCACTGATCCATTCCTCTAACACTATGCAAAGAAGATTTATGGAACAAGCTTGGTATGATTCAATGTTATTACATGCAACATGCTCAAATACGTAGCTAGTATACATTTAAGATACACTTACATGTGAAAACTCAGTCTCATATGTCACAAGCATTGAGAAGGTCCTAGAGAAATCAGTCTAGACTAAAACCAAACAGTAGAAGTCTAGGCTAAAAGATAAACTTCTAATAGGCCACTACGGAAAGTCTCCTTGGTACAACAAACAAAATAGATGGGCCTGATGATGCAGCAGCCTGACCAGAAAGCCCTGTGAAACCAGGAGTTAGTTCCCGGCTGCCCAGACTACAGGCTACCACTGCATCTTAGCACGTCGATATCAGTCCTATGATCGTCCAAGCACAGTTCAAGCTCTTTCACTAATTTGGTATCTTCCTGACCACTATTTTGAATAAATAACTCACCATTTGAGGCTTTTAGGTCTATTCTGTAGTGCTAATAGAATGTAATAAATTTTATTCCATGGTACAGAGTTTAGTTAAAAATGGTAATTATAGCAAGAAAATAAGTATATCATTTAGGTGCTAAAAGCCTCAGTCCAACTTGTTTGACAGCAAGTTCCAGAAGAGAATGAAGATCCAAAGAAGAACGATGCATTCCATGGCAGGGTGACAACAGCCCCCAAAGGCACCGGTTCCTAATCGCTGGCAACTGTAAATGCTACCTTATTTGGAAAAAGGGTCCTTGCAGGTGTGATTAAGTTAAAGATCTTGAAATGGGGGGATTATCCTCAAGTATCCAGGTGGGCCTGAAATACAGTCAAAGAGTTCTTATAAGAAAGAGGCAGCAGGAGATTTGACACACAGGAGAAGGTGATGTGGAGAATGTGCAGAGAGAGAAAGAGATTTGAAATACTGGCCTTAAAGACTGGAGCAATGAGGCCACAAGCCAAGGAAAGCTCGCAGCCACTGGAAGCTGGAAGAGACTAGGAAAGGACTCTCCCCTAAGCCTCTAGAGGAAGCAGGACCAGCCAACCTTGATTTCAGCCCAGGTATGCAGATTTGTGGACGCCTGCCCTGCAGAACTGGGAGAGAATAAACTCCTGTCATTTTAAGCCACCAAGTACATGGTAATTTATTTGGCAGCCACAAGAAACTACAAAGTTTATATATATCTACTGGTTTAAAACTGTAATAGAACAGATGCTACAACTTTTTAAGATGTTTCAATTACAAGGTCTATTAATAAAATGGTGTCGTCATTATGCACATTCTTAACTGTAAAATCTGAAATTATTCTTTATTGCTCATGGGAATTCAAGCCCCTAAGAGTAGGTTTCAAGATTCCTGCTATCTCTGTATCTGAGCCCTCCAGGGAGGCGGGCTCCATCATTCACCAGCACCTGAGGGGTGCAGTCATCTTCCTTTGGTGTCAGGTTTATTTTATTCTCTGTCCTTCTTTCCTTTGATCCCCACTAACCAAACCTTCCCACCGTTGAGAGCCCAAAGCTACTCTTACTTCATTCATTCACTGATCAAATGAAAGATAAAATGAAAAGCATCCTGTGTTCCAGGGACTCACTCTGTAACTGAGGAGCCAGGAACCGCCACAGAGAGACAGCACAAAGAGACAGCACGGACTCCCTTCACTGGAAGGCCAGCGGAATCATATGACAACAGGGAGTCTGAGGAAAACACTCACCCACCAAATAGAAAAAATACTGATACTCCTCACTAACAGAACAGGCATGTACTAACACTAAGGTTGCAAAGTTCGTTGATTTTAACTGACTTCTGTTTGCTACTGATTCAGTTTCAGAACTACACTGAAATGCATTTTGCTAGAATTGGAAAAACTTAGTCACCTCCAAGCAAAGAACTCAAAATTAAGAAATCAACAAATCTTGCAACAATTGGAAAATAAAGTTTAAGAAATTACCAATTACGATATCATCAAGAAAAAGAATAAGGAAATACTTTGGAATAAAACACATGGATGATGTGTAAGATGTCTACACTAAAAACTACAAAACATCATGAAGAGAAAGCAAAGGCCTAAACAATGGAGAGAAATCATGTGTTTACGGATGGGAAGATCACACCCACTCTCCCCAAACTGATACATAAATCTAATGCAATTCCTCTCAAAATTCCAGTGGGCTCCTCTGAAGAAGTGCATGGGATGACTGTGATACTTACGTGGAAATACAAAGATCTACAGCAGGCAAAGAATCTTGAAAAAGAACAAAGGTGAAGGACGTACATTACCTGATTTTGAGACTTATTATGAAGCGACAGTAATCAAGATGATAGCACTGGTACAAATATATACAAATTGATCAGTGGAACAGAATAAAGAGTCTAGAAATAGACCAGACATACACGGTCAACAGATTGTCAATGAAGGTGCCAAGGCAATTCAGTGAGGAAGGGCCAGCCTACAGCCAACAGTACTGAAACAACTGGATGTCCATGTGGGAAAGAAGTTAACCTCACGCCTTCTCATGCCATACACAAAACTAATTCAAGATGAATCACAGACATACATGTGAAACACAGAATCATAAAGCGTCTAGAAGGAAACACAAGAGAATATCTCTGCCCCTTGGGTAGGCACAGTCTGCTTTGACAGAAAACCAAAAGCGCAAACTATGATGACACAAAATTGATAAATAGAACATCACATTTTAAAGCACTCTGCTCATCAAAGACACCATTAAGAAAACAAATAGACAAGCCACAGACTGGGAAAAAAATACTGGCTAAATATCTATCTAACAAAGGACTTGTATCCAGAATATACACAAAAAAATGGTATAAACTGATGATAAAAAAACACACTAATTAAAAATCAGGGGGAAAAACTTGAACACTTTTCAAAAGAAGACAGATGAACAATGTGCACATGACCATGTGCTCAAACTTTTCCATTAGTTATCAGAAAAATTATATTGAAATCATGAGATACTACTAAACGCTCATAGAACGGCTAAAGTAACAAAGACTGATAATGCTGAATGTTGGCGAGGATGGAGAACACCTGGAATTCTCACGTGTTGCTGGCAGGAAACTCTGGCAATTTCTTATAAAGATACACAGACATCTACTCTGTGGTCAAGCAATTCCACTTCTGCATTTTTATCCAACAGAACTAAAACAT